AACAACAACAACAACAAAGCCAACGCACTGCCATGAAGTCGATGCCAAGTCATGGCAACCCTGTAGGACAGGGTAAAACTGTCCCTCTGAGTTCCCAACACTGGAACTGCATGGCGTAGAAAGCCCATCTCTCTCCGTGGAGTGCCTGGTGGTTTCAAACCACTAAACTTGTAGATAGCAGTCCATCAAATAACCACTATGCCACAGAGCTTTGCCAATCCACCTAGATTTTGAAAATCCAGTATTCACAATCCATGACACTTATATTCATAATACTTTTATTTAAAATAGCTTTAAACCCTTAATTTTTTGTCTTTTTATCACAGAGGAAAAACAAACAATAAGAACAACCAAAACATCAGCAACCAGTATAGTTGAGGTTAGCCCTGTAAAAACACCCTTTTGCTTTCTACTTCTTCATTACTTAGACTTCAAGAAAGTTGCCTTTAACAACCTTTACTTCATTCTTTATGTGTCTGTTCTTACAAATTAATAACCCCCGTCAAAAACCATACTCTCTGCCTTCCAGTTCATTCCACCTTGTGTTATTGTTGCTAGATGCTATCTAGTGGTTCTGACTCAAGAGACCCTGTGTACAAAATAGCAGCACACTGCCCTGTCCCGTGCCATCCCCACAATTACTGTTATATTTAAACTCGTTGTTGAAGCCATCATGCCAGTACATCTTGTGTAGGCAGTTCTTCTTTTGCCTCTACCTTCTGCTTTACCAGCATGATGACCTTCTCTAAGGACTGATCTCTCCTGAGAAAAGGTCCCAACTACATGAGAGGCTGTCCAACTATCTTCCCTTCTAAAGAGCTTTCTGGTTGTAATGCTTCCAAGACAGGTATTTGCTGTTGTTGTTCGGGGCAGTTGGTTGAGCTTTCAGCATTCTTCACCAGCCCTGAGATCCAAATGCATCCGCTCTTCTTCGGTCTCCCTTTAAAGATGTTTAATTGTCCCATGGGTATGAGGAGATTGAAATTACCATGGATTGGGGCCAGAGGCACCTTATTTGTAAAGGGGGCACCCTTGCTTGTCAACACTTTAAAGAGGG